CCTGGCGTCTATTAAGGGTGTCTGAGTGGCAGGCCACTCCCCCAAGCTTGGCCAGTTAGTGGCAAACGGAAGGCACAGCCCTGGGCATTTGGCCTCCTGTTGCAGTTGCTGTGCTTGCTCCACAGCCGGCTCCTCCACTGGTCACTACAAGGACAGTTGCATTGCATTGGTGGCTGCCTGAGATCTGCTTAGCTGCTGCCTGAGTATATATACATGGTAACTGCACAATAAAATCAGACCTGCTCCCTGATTGGTCTGCAAAGATCTTGATTAGCGACTCTGCAGCCACATTCTCCTCTACCCTGTTCTGTGGATCTCCTCACTGAATGAGATAGAGCCCACACACATCCCTATTCAGATGGACATAGATTTCTTTTGAAGACATTTAATACTAAAATATCCAAGAATCTGGATTTGTTCCTCTGCCATAAATTTTAATATATTTTATATGCAATGGCACAAGAGAAAAAAGAAGCAAATATTAAGATGGAATGAGACAGTAGGTGCTTAATTGATACATCTATGCCTCCATTGCAACATTGTACAAACATGGTTTTGTGTGTCCCCAATTGTATGCTTTCATTTTACAGTAGCTATATGTGTATGGCTTTTGTTGAAAGCAACAATGTTTCTGTGGTGACCCAGAGTCTTGCCATCTTACGGACACAGTTGAACATGACATCTCTTCTTGCTCTCAAGTGCATTGCCTAGCCAGTGAACAATCCTGAGGAAAAACACTGTGTATAAAATCAGAGGCCTATTAAATCCTGACTCAAACCAAAGTTAGTAAGCATTACTATCTGTTTTATTCATCTTGAATTTAATAACTTCATTACTCTTAATTCATTGCAAATTGATCATTCTATGGTTTTAATAAAGTTTCCCAATTACTTACATTGTGCAAAGAAAAAAAGCAGAAATTTTGTATGAGACTGTGGTAGGGGGTAAATAAACCTAGAGTTGGGCTGGGGATATAGCTCAGTTGGTAGAGTGCTTGCCTTGCATGCACAAGGCCCTGAGTTCTAATTCCCAGCACCACACACACACAAACCAACCTAGAGTCAACAAACTCACAGTGGCATTTCTCATTGTGGCATTTCTGTTTGATATAATTATGAGTTAGGTGAAATGAATTTCACAAAGCTCCAAATTAACTGTGAACTCATAGACTTGGTTTAATATAAACTAATTGTAACCCTGACTGAAAGATCACATTTTAAGAGAGCCCATAATTATAGATTCCCATGTTTCATCTTAAATTCAATAGAATTAAATGTTTAGCTACTTCTAAATGAAAAATCCCAAGAGCATGGATTCACCTATTTCTCAGTGATTCACTCTGCTCATTAGTTTTCTGGTTTCACATAAGAAACACAAAATACAT